GAACGAATTCTAATAATAACAAAAAATTAAGAATCTCTCCTATCATAGAAACTCTTTTAAAAACTCAATTCTCCTATTAAGAAATTGCACGACTGTTTAAGCATGACCGATTCTACTGAAGAACCATTAGTGTATACACTATTAACCAAGGTCCATAGAAAAGGAAGAATCCATGCATTTTCTTCAAATGGAACAAAATAGCGATGTTCAATCGTTGATGCACTCAACTTGCTAATTCAAAAACATACTGCAGTACGAACACCAGATAACTCTTTTCCTCGATCTTACTTGCACATAATCTCTCCTAGCTTTACTTTCGTAACTTAATTTATTATCTGCTACAATAATAGCATTGTTTTAATCCAAACATTTGTACTTGCATCAAAATACTAGATTACTTTGACTAATTAAAGTCATTCCGTCGCTAAAATATAAATTAACAAATGCTGCCACTTATTAAAAATATTATTAAGAAATTGTTCAATTAGCACTTTATTATCTTATTTTCATTTTTAAATATCCAGATACTAATTTTAAAAAAAAGTTTTGGGGTTACAGCATAAATGTCCGACATTGGCCTTTTGGTTAGAAAAAACAATTTTTAATATACACAATATCATGTAATTTTATAATGTGTCATAAAATTTAGTAAGCGTGGCAAAATTTGTATTTTAGTACGATTTCTTAGAGCCTGGTATAAAACCATTCGGTGAAATTTACTTTACAGGTTTGTATTTTTTACAAAAGGTTTGGTAGTAAGAACTTATAGCTTTGAAAAACAGAATTTCCGGTAAACCGGTACCATATCAGCGGAAAAATTACTAAATGAATAGTTTTTAAATACCATATATTTTGGTTTTAGAACCAGAATTATGATTGTTTTCTTTTACCGAAAATGTTATTACCATATAGCACATTAATTTTATCAGAATTTCTTTCTCCGTGTATTTACTGAAGCATTTTGCAATAATTTATGTTAAAATTCCAGTAACTAGATAAAATTATAAATTTATTTTAAAATGTTTCTTGTGCTTGAAACTACAAACTAAATTGTTTTCAAAGCCTGAAGCTTAGATTTATATTATGCTTCTTCAACTGACCTTTAACATAAGGAAATAATGACATCATATAGCAAATCTTATTTTTGAGAAGCCTATGATATAAGTTCTGTAAGCTCTAAATAATGCTTATTTGACCAATTTGTTTTTCACCGTTTATTATTTTAGGAACAAGTAGTGTATACCCAACGTAGATAATTCTTAATAAAATTAATAAAATTAAGTAAAATGTAAATTAATTTTAAATAAACTGATTACATTAACGAATAACATATTATTAAACATGCTCTCATCTAATTTGGCTTGTGAGTTTTTCAAGATTTATTCATTTATCATGACTAGCTACAGTTTTAATCAAGAATTAAATTACTAAATTGCTCATAACTTTAAGAATATCTAATGCAATCTTTCTTAGATCAGATTCATAAATACATTTTCAAATCCATAATAGTTTTATTTTCAATTCACTAAATAATAATTAGTATTAAAGAGGCAAATTTTATGATTTTTAATTAGATAGCTGATAAAGCTAAAACCCATATGTCCAATTTCATGATCCTCTGTTATCTACGATTTTCTGAAGGCAGAACTCAGGGCCCTTTTGTTAATTTATAATTTTGCATGGTAGGAATTAATACTTGAAATAATTGTTTTCTTAATTTGATCCAAAGTTTCGAATGTTTTCGATTTTGTTTAAATACTAATCAATTGACATTTTCTCAGATAATTATTGAAATGTTACATTTTTGAAAAGAAGTTAGAACTCTTAAAAAAATGTGTGGAAAATTAGCTTTTTTGAGAAATGAAAAGGATATTTTTCGTATTGACCAATAGATATTTTTTAACAAAAATTCGAGGAACAAACTATTCTTGAGAAGATTTCTTTTTCAATAATTTTGCATTTAATGAACAAAGTGCTATATTTCACTCTTGTATAATAAGTTTCTCACATTAAAAACTTATTTATTAAACATGGTTATTTCTTGAGCGAAGATCTTCAGGAATTATATATTGTCTAACATATCAAAGACCTGATTCCGTTGCTTATTAAATGCATGCATATTGTGCATATTCATGCTGCATATTCATGTCAGAAAGAAAATCAATGAAATAAGCACATTAGGGTTCTTAAATTAATAATTAAGTGAGAAATCTGCCGAATCATTATCGATGTTAAGTTTGCTTCAGAGATAAAAAAAGAAATTAGTTGGTGCACCTTATATTTTTGTTCTGCAAATAAACTGATGTTTTTTATTTATTTTCATTTTCATTTCACCCCTGGTGTTACTGATTTTATTTTCATCTCCATAATGAATGGTCAAACTTTGCTTACATTTTATATACTTTTCACTCTTGAATATTAGTTTTTGACTTCTAATATATGTATTTTTCTCAGGATTCTAAAAAGCATAGAAATTTTTGATCAAATTATCTGGTTTTCACTTTTTATAGTCTTCCAACCCTCGAAAGTTGGGGGTAGCCACAAACTGTAAAATCTGACCACAATTATTCAGTCAGAGGAGAAGTCGAAAATTGAACCCTTTAATATTAATTTCTTTTTCTTTCTTCTTTTCTTTTTCTCTTATTTTAGAATGTATTGGGATCTGTTTGAGCTATTGAACAAATGTTTTGCAAACAATTATAAGTCATGTTTAAATAAATATAATTTTATGCAAAATATGTTTTTTTTACTGATGACTAATTTTTATATTATTTGAGTAGTAAAAAATTTTTATAAATTTATAAATTTTTACTTAATTTTAAATTATGAAAAACAAAATTTGAGAGAATTTGGCCAAATAGTTTGAAAGTAAAGAAATTTTAAAAAATATTTTGCTCATATTATATATTACTCATATTTTGTATTCTCTTACTTAAATTGTCTAAATAATATAATGTTGTTGTAATTGTCTAAAATAAAGTAAAAATTTATACACGCGATAATTTTAAAAATAATTACTACCATTTATAAATTGAAAACATAAAACAGTTCTGAAAGTTTACTTTATTATGATAGTAAAAAACTTTTTTATGAGCTTAAATAGAGATTTGGCTAAATAAGCAAAAAGGGAAATTAACACTTAAGGTAACAACCGCTCTCCTAACTTAGCAATTGTTACTGTAGTTCACAAATCATGAATATTTCAAGGCTTAAGAAATGAAATTCGTAGAAGAATAATTATGTTTATTCTGAGAAAGTACGTTTTCGTTTCGTAACTTAAAATATCGTCTGCACAAATTGTTATACTTAAAGTAAGTTCTTGAACCATGAATCCTAATATATGAAAATAGTTGCAGAGATTTGGCTAAATAAGCAAAAAGGGAAGTTAACACTGAAGGTAACAACCGCTCTCCTAACTTAGCAATTGTTACTATAGTTCACAAATCATGAATATTTCAAGGCTTAAGAAATGAAATCCGTAGAAGAATAATTATGTTTATTCAGAGAAAGTACGTTTTCGTTTCGTAACTTAAAATATCGTCTGCGCAAATTGTTATACTTAAAGTAAGTTCTTGAACCATGAATCCTAATATGTGAAAATCTGACCATTAAATCAAAAGTTGTTCAGTATATTCTGTATATTATTAGTCTGTACATCATGCTATATGTACATTTATTATATTCTACCTCATATGGTGTACCGAAAAATGTGATACAATATTTTGTGATTTGTGAATCTCATCTTTGATTTTAAAGTTCCTCAAATCTTAATATCAGAATTTAATTTAAAAATAAAATATTTGTTTTAGGGGATATTTTGTGTTACTGTAAGCTTAAAATTTTTAATATAATTAAGGAGTTCTTTTTCATATGGTACTTATTTCATATGGTATTTTTTTATCGCACTCTATACCTCATGCTATTCCTTCATTCGTCTTATCTACTACGCTGTAGAAAATTCCGGATGAAATTACGGTAAAAAGCATTGCAACCTCAAGTTCAGCATCCATGAAATACATTTACCGTAAAATCCATCTTAACTGTAAAATCTATTTTTACGGTAATTCTATATCATTACTTTTAGAGTGATATTTTTAATTACAGTGATTCAGGGATTTTATCTTAAATATTCTTGTAAAAAAATCTTATCTAAAAAAGCCTTAAAATCTTACTGTGAAAAGGGATTTTATGGTAAAATGTACTGGCACCCTAAGTGCTGGAACTTTTTACCAGAATTTGCACAATGTACTACCTCATACAGTATAGCGAAATATGTGATATAAAATTTTGCGAATGATTGTAATCTCTAATTTTTCTAGTCTTTCAAATCTTAATTTCAAAAATCTATTTAAAAAAAATTTAGTTCCTGATGAGGTTTTGTGCTTGCCGAAAGGTTGAAATATAATTTATGAACTATTTTTTATATAGTATATTTCCAAATGATTTTCCAAGAGGGCGTTCCCTTTGGAAACCAATCTATTTTTTTTTCTTTTTTCAATCAAAAATGTAGCATATTAAAACTTTCATTTTTCATGTCATTTCGAATCAGTTAATTTCCTCAATGTGATGTCAACTATTCATTAATGATCATATGTAATTTGTCTTCTTCTCTTACCATCACCTCATAATAAAAAACTAAATGAATAAGTTTAAGAAAATTATTTATGCAAAATATTCCCTTCATATTATAATTTTAAGTTAAAGTTCTCAAGCATTAATTAGTAGTATTATTTCAATTTTATAAACTTTCACAATATAATTTAAAAGCTCTCAAAGGTTCGTAAATAAAACATAAAATTTATTAATTTCTAGTATATTCTAACTGAAAAACAAAGAGTTGATTTTTAAGAAAAATGGATTTAATATGAGTTTCATTTACAACAGGCTTGCGCTGGAAAGGGTAAAGTTGAAAACGGCAATTATATAAACATTACATTTTAGTCCAAACTATCATCAATTAATAAAGATTTTACATAGTTAAAAAATTTAAATAAACTTACCTTGCATGTCGTTTGAATAATAGTAATTTTGCCGCCTCGAAGCGTGCGCCAAAAATATTCGCGCCTGCTTTGCAGGGTAAAAGAAACAACAACAAAAAATCTATATCAACTAACACTTTTTTTTGCAAGTCACTTTTGTCATTTTTAAAGCCTGTAAATTGGAAGTAGCAAATTCAATATTTATCCTTGCATAGACTATCTTTTAACTCTATAAAGTGCACCCTTTCTTCGATCTTGTGCTTTAATGCGTTGTTTTAATAGAAAAGTTGCCATGAATTCCGTTTTCGAATAAGAAACACCATAGATGCGGCCAGCGCAGCTAGGTTCTGATATTCCCCTGCAGCAAATTTGCCAGGCTTTCTCCTCAAAGCACCACTGTTCGATACTCCTGCCATCTACCGCCTTCCACCGATGATATTCAATTATTCAACATGTCTTGGAAAGTGAAAGGAGCAGTGGAAAGTTTTTTTTTCCGGCATTCGTAACATTCTAAATATATTCATTGAGGAGCATTTTTGCGAGAATAATTTAATGACCAATGTGAAGTTGTTTTTAGATCTTATTTTGTCAAAATTGTACCTAATAGAATGATTTTACAATGAAGGAAATAAAATATCTAAATGGTTCCACAAATGAAGTCACTTATTTGCCATTTAATTTGACTTTTTTAATATTTAATTTGATTTTATTTTTCTTATTTTTATAACGCTGATTAGCAAACATTTATAACGATTGTTTGGTAAATGTGATATTTAATGTCAAAACATTTTTCTTCTTTCGAGAAGGAAAGGTTGTTTTTATTAAATAGATTTTTTTTCAGGAATTCATAATATTCTAAGAATATTTTTTGAGAAAAAAATATTTTTTCACAGAATTGTTTCGACAAATGAAATAATTTTTATGCTATTTAATTTGATTTTCTTTTAAATACTGCTTATCTGTCTAACGTTGTTCAACAAACATTTGAATCTTTTGTTTAATAAACATGTAAATTAATTAGGTTCATTTGGTTTTTTCAGTATTATATATCATGCTTTTTCAAAGAGTAGTTGGTTAAAAAGAATTTCTAGTAAAATAATATCTTTAAAATATGCTATCTCTAAACAATATTAAACAAAACAACTTCATTATTAAACATATTTAATTGTAATTTCTAAATTCATATAAACTATTAATGTACTTTTTTGTTCTGAAAAATAATTTGAATGAGAAAATTTCAATGATTTGGTTTATTTATTACATTTTGTCATGCATTTACAAACAATCGTCAGTTGAATAATTCAGTTCAGAATAATTCATTGAAAAATAATATTTTTAAAATATGTTATCTCTAAGTAATATTAAACAAAATAGCTTTATTAATAAACATATTAAGTTGATATATCTGAATTCATATAAACTGTTAAAGTATTTCTTTTTTTTTTTAGTCAAATGCTAAAATTTGAAAATGTCAAGTTGTTATCAAGTGAAATTTAAAAATTTCAATGATTTAGCGAATGCGAAAAACAATTTATTTATTAGGGTAAATAATCTAATTCACTCGAGTCTTTCTATGTATTTTATTTGTCACATAAATTTCTTGTATTTGTAAAGATTTTAGTTTAGTACAAATTTCGAACCAATCATAAAATATTATTCGATTTTTTTTTGTGGTATCATCATTTTTACAAAAATATAAACTAAAACAAAATTGTTTTATTCTAATGTTAATTCATTTATTTTTTTAATAATAAATGAAATTTACTGAATTTCAATATCTAAATTCATTTTCATTATAAACTGTAAACTTGTAAAAAGCCTCACATACGAAATTCCAAGAAATCATCGCTAGTTAAAGAAAATAATAAATTGTATTTGCAAATTTAAGCTAAGCAATCTGATTACTTGAAATAGATAAGAGTCAAGTTTAAATTAACTGTAAATTAATAGATTTACAAGGAGTGTATTTTTGCATATAAATACTTAATTTTGCCCTTAAACACTGCTCAATTTTTGCACACAATAACAACCATTCAAGATCTACAGCAATAGTAACATTTCTACTATAAGACAGAAATTTTTAAAATATTTCTCCAAATTTTTCTATGCATAGTGAAAAAACATTCTGGTAAAATTACCGTCTTGTATTCTGTTAAAAAAAAATTTGGTGTTAATAAAATTAAAACATATGATATTTAAACCATTTCTTTGGTAATTTTTCCGTTTATGTGATAACAGTTTACTGAAAGTTCTGGCTTAAAAATTTTAGTTCTTGCTATCAGACATTAAGAAAAAATACATTTAACCGGATAAATGGTTTTTGTGCCATGTTCTAAGGTAACATGATAAAATTACCACATTTTACCACATTTACCTAATTATATTGCGTGTAATAAAAACATATTTTATTGATAATTTTACCAAAAACCTACGCGCTTCAGTAAAAGTTTTTTAGTGTTTCTATAGAACTAGAAATATGGTAAATTTTACTATATTCTGGTAGTTCTGACCATACTTTTTCTCTAAGTGTGGTTATAATGAGCTGTTGCTAATTTAATTTGTCTACATTTCTGATTACAATCCCCATATTGCATCTTAAAAATCTGCTTATCTACAATTAGGTTATTAATTATTGTTTAAAAAAATTAGGTTATGAAACTAGGCTCTAGAAGTATGATTTCTAGATTGAAAAATATAAAAACCTTAATCTTTACCTGCAATATCACCATTAATGAGTGTTATTAGAATCCTTGTCAAAAATATACACATTCTCAAGTCAATCATCAAAATTTGAAAAATTATAAACGAAGATGCCAAGACTGAATATATCAAAACATACTAACTTTTAATATAATTATCAGATACTAACTTTTAAAATAAGACTAACTTTTGATATAATTATCAGATCTTCACGTACTAGACCTTAATGGTTCGAAGGGGTGACCTCAAATATGCTAAGTAATTAGTACAGACGATATTTTAAGTTACGAAATCAGACACAAAAACGTTGCTTTTTTTAAACTAACATGCATTTTTTTCGGCGGATTCGGATTCCTATGACTCCTAAAATATAGAGGGCAGCCGCAATCTTGATTATATGGTCCTAATAGTCTGGTTAAGAGACCGGTGCAAAGTTTGGACCCCTTAACGTTATCTCGAGAAATCCTATATCTCGATAAATTTTTAAGCGAATTGAAAAATTTTTGCACACAATTATAAAGTTCGCTTACCCAAAGATAATTTCTTACAAAATATAACTTTTAGTATGTATTTATAATTTTTTGTTATTTTATTTATTTTATTTTATTATGGCTGAAAAATTCTTGAATTGTAAAGTATATCATTTCTTACAAAATTTTAAAGAATGTAATTTTAAATGGCAAAATACGAAGTTTGAGCAAAATTGGTTGAATAGTTTCTGAGAATTCGATTTTTCAAAAAGAAGTACTTTTAAAACTTTATTTCCCAGGAACTGTTCGACCTATTTTGCTCAAATTTTGAATTTTGAAATGTAAAAATACATTCTTTAAAATGATGTAAAAAAATTGTTTCCCTTGCAATTCAAAATTTTTTGACTATTATTAAATAAAATAAAATAAAATAATAAATACTTACTAAAAACTATTTTTTGCATGGAATGATCATTGGCAGAACGAATTTAAAATTGCGTGTGAAAATTTTCTATTCAAATATAAATTTTTCGAGATATGGCGAAATACTGAAAAGTGAAATTAAGGGGTTCAAACTTTAGATCGCGTTCCTGACTCAACCATTGGGATCATATTTCACAGATTGCGGCTCTTCTCTGTAATTTTGGATTCAGAAATCCGAATCCGTCAGGAAAAGGGTATGTTTATTCAGAGAAAGTATGTTTTCGTGTCTGATTATGTGACTTAAAATATCGTCTTCACTAATTAATTAACGTATTTCACGTGACCCCCTCAAACCTTTAAGATTGTATCCTAGAACGTGAAGATACGATCATTAGATCAAAAGCCATTCGGGGAGGTCCGTTTATTTTATTTTTTTTCACAGTATACATCTTTACAACTTTTTTGCACTTTGATATATAAATTAAACTTCAAACCAGGGCATAACTATGGAAGTGTTATATTGATTATGGTATAAATTTGGGGAAATTTAATAAGTATCTAAAATATAATTATTAAGTCTCTATTTCTGAAAATATTTCGAAATTGCAAATACGAAAATATCAAATAATTCTCCTAAAGTTTTCTTCAATAGGGAAGCAGTTCAAATTTTCAAATGCATGAAGGGGCTATATATAGACTCGGGAGAAGGGAATATATATATTACCATGAGCAGAAAGTTTCACTTTTAATCCAATCAGGGAATTTTCACGTTCTAAGAAGCAATCTTAATTCTTCGACCTGAACAACTGAAATTAAGTAATTAATTATTCTAAAGTAAAAATTCACAGAAGCGTAATTTCTCTAAAATCTTTTACTTCGACATTCAAAACATGTTAGTGGTGCATAGATTTCTGTAAGCAGAATGAAATTAATTGAAAAAGATTAATTCAGTCTTTAATTAACCTATAGCATACCAAATGAATAACCACATTATTTATTATCATTAAAATAATCCACTTCATCTGATCTAATCACAAAAATGGAATGAATTGAAGTGGATTAAAACAATCTTTGAATAAATCATAGAATTCCAAATGAATAAGCACATTCTTCATAATTAACTCTGTCAGAATCAAAAAACTAGCCACAAAAATACAATAAGGTGAATAAGATTAAATTATAACATTTCAAATGAATAACCACATTCTCTATCATCAATCACTCTATCAGAATCAAAAAATGTAATAATTTTAAAGAGATTAATTAATTCTTTGATAAATTATTACATATTATTATATTTATTATACAATCACAGCTTTAAGGCATTCTTTTCTAGAATTCCGTATGACGTGCAGAACCGGCAACGCCAAAATTTCTGCATAAACTTCCAGAATAGTTTCCATTCCTTTCATTCTTCTATCATCGTTTGTTTTCAATTTTAATATCGGTTAAACATCTGCTGAACACTGTTCAATCGGAAAGATACTCTCAAGACTTCCAAAAATCTGAAAATGTAATCGCAAAATTGTGTCCAATCTATAGAGTATAGGAACGTTTATCTAAGAAACCTTAAATTTAATTTAGACTATCTCATAAGCAGTCTACAAAATATAAATCTATCTGATAAACGGAAATAACAAGTTATTAATGGTATTTTTTTTCTGATAACAGTATATATCTTTTAATTCTTTGCTGTCGTCTGTCTACTCACAGCCACTAATAATTTTTTTCTGGACCCGTTGTATGTCTGTTTTCAGCAACGGCAG